CCTCCCTCCTCCCTAGCTGCCAGCTCGGCCCGAGCCCTGCGGGCTCGGCGCGAGCCAGCGCCACCGGCGCCCCCCCGCGCCGCCCTCTCTCCTCCCGCCGCGTGCCTTCCATCCCTCCGTGGGCCGTGATGGAGGAGCCGAGGCGGCGTCGCCCCAACCGGTCAGCCGCGGCTCGGCGGGCGCAGTATCGCCGCGCCGAGTGCCGCACGGTCGAGCGGCTCCTGGCGGCATTCGCCGAGCTGCGCGGCCATCGTGGAGGCGCCCCCACGCGCTTGGGGGCCGCCCTGGCCGCAGCTCTGGCGCCCGCGGCCTCGCCGGACGTCGCTGCGGAGGATGCCGCCGGCTCCGAGGCGGCCGACCTCGGCATCGAGCGTGAGTCCCAGGCCGAGCGTGTGGAGGGACCGCCTGACGACGCGCCCCAGCCCACGGCGGCGACGGGGGGCGCGGCGGAGCCCAGCCTCGCCGACATGGTCCGTGCCCTTCGCGGGGAGCTCGCAGAGGTGGTCGCCGAGAGCCGGGCAGAGGCCATCGCGGCCGAGCAGGCGGCGGAGAACGAGAAGGAAAAGGAGTCGACGGCGACGGACGTGCTGCGGGCCATGCAGGGCGGCCGCTTCGGCTCGGTTGCCGTGCCGCTGGGCGGACCAGCTGCGGGCGCCGAGGGCGCGGCCCAAGGGCCCCTACGGGGGATGACTGCCCATCCGCTGGCCGCTGTGGCGGGCTGGGCAGGCAGCACGAGGGGGTCGCAGATCGACTCAGCTGGCAGCGTTCCTGCAGGCTCGCACGGATCTGGGAGGACGATCCCTGGCATCGCGCCGCCGTCGGACGATCCAGCGAACTGTAAGCAACAATAGCCACGTCTGCAGTGGGCATTTGGTCTTTGCAATCGTTGTTGTTCCTCCCATGTCACACATGGTGTTGGTCACACGCTGTGTATTGCAATTGTGTTATTGCCTCACGTTTCTCTGATGGTAATGTTGATTGCAGTGCGATTCTCGCCCAGCATTTTGTTCGGGCCATGCTATACACTTCTGGATGGGGCCTTGACGAGCTGCCCGTTCTATTATGCGAGATGGTTGTTGGAAAAGACGATTCTGTTTTGGACCCATAGGTGCAGGAGCAACTATGGCTTGCAGGGTTGCCCGTTGACCTTTCTGTTGACTGGTAGGGCCGCATCGAGTCTGATTCGCCTCCGTTTAGCCTATGTCCGACAGGCAGTGGAATCATGTGTCTTGGAATTGTTGGCTTGCTTGCATTGTCTCGCTTGTGTGTGTGCGTGCGCGTGTGCGTGTGTCATGCTCGTGCTTGCACACCAATAAGAGACTCTGGAATTGGATATCACTTCGTGATTGGTCTTATCTTATCTTATCTTAACCTCCCTCCCTCCTCCCTCCTCCCTCCTCCCTCCTCCCTCCTCCCTCCTCCCTCCCCCATCCTCCCTCCTCCCCTCCTCCTCCTCCCTCCTCCCTCCTCCCTCCTCCCTCCTCCCTCCTCCCTCCCTCCCCTCTCCCTCCTCCTCCTCCTCCCTCCTCCCTCCTCCCTCCTCCCTCCTCCCTCCTCCCTCCTCCCTCCTCCTCCCTCCCCCTCCTCTCCTCCTCCTCCTCCTCCTCCTCCTCCTCCTCCTCCTCCTCCTCCTCCTCTCCTCCTCCTCCTCCTCCTCCTCCTCCCCCCCTCCCTCCTCCTCCGCCTCCTCCTCCTCCTCCTCCTCCCTCCTCCTCCTCCTCCTCCTCCTCCTCCTCCTCCTCCTCCTCCCTCCTCCTCCTCCCTCCTCCTCCTCTTCCTCCTCCCTCCTCTCCTCCTCCTCCTCCTCCTCCTCCTCCTCCTCCTCCTCCTCCTCCTCCTCCTCCTCCTCCTCCTCCTCCTCCTCCTCCTCCTCCTCCTCCTCCTCCTCCTCCCCTCCTCCTCCTCTCCTCCTCCTCCTCCTCCTCCTCCTCCTCCTCCTCCTCCTCCTCCCTCCTCCTCCTCCTCACCCCCCCCGACGTGCGGAGCCCGCGCGCCGGGAGCTGAATCCAAGCCTGAGACCCCAGGGCGTCCATCGATGTTTGGCATGGGAGCGTCACGCTTTTTCCATCGCAGACCATCGAGGCTGAAGAAACACAGGGCACCCTCGTAGGCCCTCGTAGGCCCTCTGGGACAGGCCCAGAGGAGGCCTCGGGCTTTGGCGCCTCAGTGGTGCCCCCTCCAGCCTTTATAGGCCCCGCAGAACCAGAACCAGGGCACCCTGGAGGCAAGCGGGGTGTTTCTTGGCGTGTGTCCCCACTGTAGTGTCGACGGTAAAAAAGGAAGTCGTCGACGCTGTACTGTCGTTCACATGTAAGATGGACGGGCTCGCATGTGTGGGGTATCGGCCGGATAGGTGGCGGAAGGGGATGATGCACCGATGAAGAATAGAGATCGGCGGAGGGGAAGAGGGAAGAACATGTTCTTATTTTGCCCAACTCCTCCCTCCTCCCCCTCCCCCCCTCCGTTCCCAATCGTCTTTACTTATCCTTCCTGTTCCTTC